CTCCTAGGAAACTTCTCATTCCTTCTCACATTACCTCCAACAACAGCCCTTTATGTCCCCTCCATGCTCCCTCTCTACATTTCCTTCCTCTCCACTTCACCCAAAAGGCTCTCTATGATTTCCCATATTTTTGTCTCCCTGCAAGTTTTCTCACCCACTTCCCCCCCCCTGTAGACGCACTGTGGCTTTCAGACCAAGGGATTCCGACTCTTGGTTGAGAAGAGAATCTGGAACAAGGGACACAGAGCGCTCATCAGTAGCCAAAACTAAATTGACAGAGTTGAGGGATTTACCTGAGGCAGAGCTGTGAGGAGAGAGCATAGGTGAAGGAGTGGTAGTCACTTTCTTTTTTGAGAAATTAGAGCACTCTGTCTCCCCGAGTTGGGGGAAGAAAATCCCTATCGCTGTATCAACACAAAGACCCCTTTCTGTACCCAAGTATGTACCTCTCTGTGAGGTACCCTCGTTCAGCTCTGAGAAGACCCGGAGCTACCTCCTTTTAGTCCTCTTGCAAAGCGCTAGAACTAGGGAAGGGCTCAGCCAAATTTGGGTTAAGATCATTCACCCGCTCCTCCCCCTCCTCCTTTCCCTCCCCCACCGAATACCACGTTGGCTAGAGTATCGGCTAACCAGTTTACCGATCTTCTCACCCATTTTATCCTAAAATTCATATTCTTGGTGATCCATAAAAACTTTTTTAACTCATCCATGTAGCACCATATCACAGATCCTAGATCCTAGATCCTTTAACCAACCCACCACCAATTTTGAGTCCCCTTCAATCACCAAATTGGTTATGTTCAAATCATTAGAAATTTGTGCTCCTTGTAAGGCTGCAACCAATTCTGCCTTGAGAGAGTCCCCAATCCCCAGTGGGCCAGAAAACAAGGCTATTAGTTTGCCTTCATGTCTCTCACAACCCCTCTTATACCAGCAGGTCATGGATGCCCCCTGCTACTCCCATCAAAATTCAGTTTCTAGAAAAGCTTCTTGCAACTCTAAACATCGCACAATCCCTTATTTCTTCCTTGCTTCTTTCCTTCTCAAAGAAAATTCTCACATTCCTCTCTTCCCAAATGGTCCAAACAAAGGCTGCTCTAACACACCTCCATATTACTCTTCCCCTCTTTTTGGCCAAGTAAATGTAGAAGGATCAAACATCAAGTTAGCCTCCACTAGTAAGAACCATCTGCACCCAAACAAAGAAAAAAACCAATTCCATATATCTGCAGCTATAGTTGTCAAGGCGGCGCCTAGGCAACGCCTAGGTGACAAGGCGCCCTTTGAGGCTCGCCTCGCCTAATTGCCAAGCAGTTTTGTACTATGTATTGTAAAATACTTGTTTATTCTTTATTTTTTGACATTATAATTATAAAATAGGCACTATTAAACTAAAATATTCATTTTCTATGTTTATATACTACTACTTTTTCTTTTCTTCATTTCCTATAACAAAAATAAGGGTTCAGCCCCTATATTTTTTGAATTTTCTTTTCCTTCTATTTTTTTCTTTTCATGAATATGTTGATTTTCTATACTTTAACATGAACTCTATACTTTTCTTATGAATAATTATTAAGGAAATATGGCTATGGTACCTAGGGAACTACCCTAGGATCTATTTTTTCTATATAAAAAAAATCCATCGCCTAGGCGACACCTGGGTGCCCGCCTAGTCAACTAGGCGACAAGGCGCCCCGCTGACGCCTAGTCTCGCCTTGGCGCCTTGAAAACTATGTCTGCAGCAAAAGAGAAAGAAATCAATAAGTGAGAGCAACTCTCATTATCATATTCGCACAAAACACAACAGTTTGGAGAGACATAAATTGGGTCTCCTCTTTTGTAGCATTTCCAAAGCATTAATTTTCCCATGAATTACTTCCCCACAAAAAGCTCGTATTTTAGGGGGAATGGGTTTGCACCAGAACTCTTTCAAGGGAAACAAAGGAGAGGACGAAGAATTACAAAGAGACTTGAAGAACAAAGCACAAGAAAACAGACCCTGAGGGTAGGGGACCCAGACACCTACATCACCCATACACTTCGAACATCTACTAGGAAACTAAGAGCCCCATTTCTTCAAAGCCACCTACATCACCCATTCAGCTACCTTGAGCCCCAAATTGAAATCAGCCTGCGTGACATATCATCCAGACCCAAACCACCCAATCCCAAATCCTTAAGCCCCAACTTCACATACAATCCTCCAATCCACCTCCTCCAAATGATTCTTGAAACCATAGAACCTCATTTTTTTAATTCCTAACTACAATTCTTTATCACCTCCCTATTGGTTATGTTAGAAATCATATTTAACATGGCCCAACCAGATCTGGTGGTTGGCCAAATTATTAAGAAAGAATTCTAACCCAACCCGGGAACCGATTCCCCAATAATTTGAAATCTGAATCTCCAAATTAATCTTGCACTGAACTGGACCAGATTTGAAACCCAAATTAAATGTTGATCGTACCTGATACGGAGTCCACAAAAACAGCTCCCAAAGTGGTAGTTCACACCCAATATCAGACCTAGATCGGCCTCCTGTTTAAGATGGTGCAGCAGTGTGTGTGTGTGAAGCCAATTCAGCAATGTAGTTTCAGCAAAACCGAACTCAAACCTCCTTGGATCAATGCAGCAGTGTGAACCTTGATGTGACTAGTGTTTTTCTCCAAAAACTTAGCTAAGGACTAAAGAAAATCAGTCCCTACAGTGGCTGGTTCGAACTAGGGTTTTGGGGTACAAGGGAAGAGAGAAAGAGTGCAAAAAAGTGGGGAGAATTTGGATGGTTCGCCCCCTCCCTCCCATCCCTTATATAGAGCATTCTCCTAATCCTATTAGGAGCTTATCCAAATCAAATTTGGATCAGGACTTGTCCATGTTTAAATAAGCCTTATCTTCTTTAAAAGAAATGGGTGCTCCATACTCATATTCGTGCCCATAGAAAGGCATTGCATGGCCACTTTAGGCTTGAAATTGTGTAGCGTGAGACCCACAAAGGTCTCACATGAGTCCACAAGGGTTCGGCCCCACCCATAGAAAGGGGCAGGCCAAATTCACTTCCCCTGACCCAATCAGATTGGGCTCAGTTTGGCCCAACATTTAAACATAAATGATCCTTGGATTCAGCCACTCTATGAAGACCCCAAGGATAACAGACTTATACAAGATGAAACCCATCAAGAAATCAGTCCAATAATGGTCTCTTGCCCTTAACCTCTCAGCCTATAATCATCAAAACATTGCTCACAGGGAATGACTTCTTCCCTAACTACAAAATGCAGTATCACACTCTCTGCTCAAATGGATCCCAGGATTAAAACCTTTTGCAAACATTTTTCCTTGATCTCGTCCTACTGCTACTCCAACCATTCAATACAAATAATCTTCTATGGGCCCATGTTGATGTTGTTTTGTTGCTGGTTCTCCACTAGATTCTCAGGAATAGGGGACAAGCTGCCTTCTGTCAACACTCAGGCTCTTTTCAACGGCATCTCCGTGATCAGAATGGAACCAAAATTTCTAAATGTAGGTCTGCTAGGATCGGCACTAAGGTGGTATGCCTAAAAGATGGTAGATGGAACTTGATGGGGTGATCAGAGGTTTTAGAGGTGAAGGGGGTTTCAGATCTCAAATCTAAGATCTAAGAGGGGATAAGGCGGGAAGAGTCTTTGAGAGCGAGAAAGTTGTAACTACCTTAAGGATTCATGAACAAGACTTGTAATAGTCACTTATGGATCTCTTCGAAGGTCCACTATTTATAGTTTTCCTAGGGCCCTTTTCCTTCCAGAAGGTTCCTTCTAGGCTTGCTTCTAGATGATTAACCCAATTTGCACCATTTATACTAGTTGGGGCATCGCCTCATGTCCCTTTAGGGTTTCAGTACTCGGGTTCTCACCTTTTCAGACGCACACACATGATGGCATGAGTTGTGACACCCCTTACTAGATTTGGATGTGGACATGCTCCAATGATGTGCAATCTAGCCAAATACTGATCAAGTATTTGCGATTTGTGTGTCTGGCTTAGTGTTCTATTGAGGAACAAAGTATTATGTATTGCAATGTGATGTAAGTGACTCTTATTGCATTTCAAATCACAATTGTGACCATTTAAGATCAATACCTTGCGCTATTATTTCCATCACAACTTATGCAATATGCGATTACCAATCACATCCTCTTTTAGGATGCACCAAGCATGGAGAGGATGCTAGACAAATGATCCAAACAAGTTTAGAGAATAAATCATTCCTTAAACAACCTGCTGCAGGAGTCCATCTATCAACCCAAAACTTGGGAACAATGTCAAAAATATTTTAGACTGAACAAATCTAAAACATCCTCTCTGAACAGAAAACAAAAAACAAAAGTCCACCACCTCTCTCTTAACAAAAATAGGATATCTAAGGTTCCATTCTCACAAGGGCCATCTAGTGACTATCTCCTCTATGTGAAAACCAACAAACCTACCCAAAAATTCTAAATGATTCCTTAACCACCTAGCCGCCTCCACCTCAACTATAAGAACTAATAAATCCATCATCAAACAGTTCTTTCAAATTGGGCCCATCCAATCAAAAGTCCTGATCATCTGATAGTATTCAAATACTACCAAGGGTTGTTGCAGCACCTTCAGTGACCAAGATGGGTCTAGTATTCTTGTTTTAAAAGAGGGCATGTTTTGCAACTTTAGTAAGTTCAAGTTCAATGAAGTGGAGCAAAGTGACCCACCACCAAGTAGTGGAGGGAAGCAAATAGCAACAGCTGAACATTGATGCATGCTGGATATTTTTCAACTTGATTGGTTGGCTAGAAAAGTATGCAACAGTAAATTACAATATGGCAAAAATATGGTGCATCATTAAGTTAAGCTAAACAAAAACTCATTTGGCAGTAAAATACGGAATAATTACCAGTTATGTGGAATTATATTAACCAAGAAAGCACATTAAAATATATACACGTGGACAAATTTCAATAGGTCACAGAAGCACTAACATGCATGACATCTTCTTCCATAAAGTCCCTCCCGCTCATTTTGTTATCCATGATTGCTGGAAATCAAGTTAATTAGATGTTATTTGTTGAAGAGAAGTATGAACATAACTATTTAAGAACTTGTTGCAAATATATGGAAGAAGCAAACTTTGTACCTACAAGACAAACCAAGAATAGTAGTAACATCACTTCCTACACAAGCTTCCAAGGATTTAAAACAGAAAATTTAATGCATATTTATGGTGATCTACATTAGCTACCTACTACGATTCATTGGTGTCACAAACATCATGCAATATAAACCTGTTAAAGATCATCCGGTTATTGACAGTTTAAGCAAAGAGAAGTGGGTAATCGATTCCAATAATGCATTGACTAGAATTGTTAGCAATATAAACCCTTAGAACAGAAGAAACAAAAGTAAAGAAGGTATCCTTCTATGTACCCATAAGAAAAAGATTAGATAATTCTCCAACATAAGGTTTGTTTCATTGTATGTTTTGGTTATGTTGGATATTGTCCTCAACTTCAAGCCTCCGATTTTATATTCTCACGGCCCCTATTTTTCTTTTTCCACTTCCTTATCAAAAAATAAAAATAAAAATAATCATCATTTACAAGCAAAAATATTTGAAGTTTAACAATAAGGTCCGTCGAGGATAATCGCACATATAGTTAAACATGGTTTGAAATATCAACATGCACCACTAGAAACATAAATGTCTCAAACCCACAAGCAATCTTGTGTTGTACACCTAATTTTGATAACGGATCCTTACAAACAAGCTTGAAAAAAAATGCTTAATCGAATCCTACTGGATTACAAATCATATTTATGCATGTTGCATTATATTGCAAATTGAATCATTGTAGACAAACAACAAAAGAATGCATTCTTATGGCTAACCCTACAAGATAATAGCAGTAACCATGCCCCCATTCAGGTGATAGACCTCTTTGGCTTATCTTTTAAGCATAGGCACATAAGCCTGATTTCCAGTACAAATACAAATTCAGAAATCCTGGGTGAGGTTTTATATTCAAGTTTCTTGGTTGTTATAGGATTCTGGGTATACAGGGAATAGGTTTTCTAATCAACTGGTTTAGGATAAGGGTGGAAATTAGAGAAAGAGTATCTGAAGATTTTCTAATACACCAGTTCCTTCAAAATTTAACAAATGCTTAACCTAAGCCCGACTAGTTACATCCCTAGTTTAGGAAATCTCTCTAGATGACCTAGTCCACTCTATTCGTGGAATAAATTTAGGCCTAAAAGAATTTACTCTAATGTGAACTAGAGCAGACACACATATTCGTGCCTACAGACAATATCAGCTTATAAACCATAGTTGTCAAGGTGATGTTTAGGCAATAAGGCGCCCTTGGAGGCTTGCCTCACCTAATCGCCAAGTAGTTTTGTACATTGTGTTATAAAATACTTTTATATTCTTAACATTTTGAGATTATAATTATAAAATAGGCATTATTAAACTAAAATATTCATTTTGTGTGTTTCATAGTTTTCAAGGCACCAAGGCGAGGCTAGGCGATAGGGGGTGCCTTGTCGCCTAGTTGCCTAGGCGATGGATTTTTTTATGTAGAAAACATAGATCCTAGGGTAGTTCCCTAGGTACCATAACCATATTTCCTTAAGAATTATTCAGAATTTTCATAAGAAAAGTATAGAGTTCATGTTAAAGTATAGAAAATCAACATATTTTTTTTATCAATAACAGAAAACTTTCATTAAATTATAAAGAAGATTAAAATACAAAGGTGGGGGAGGTAAACCCTCTTACCACCCCCCCAACAATAAAATTACGTAGTAGCCCAAAACAATTGGCCTCTTCCCACCCCCCGTTTGGCCAAAGCATCTGCAAATGAATTAGCACATCTTTTAACCCACCGGACACGCACATCCATGCCTTGGGTTAGCCACTTGAAATGCCTTTTTTCATTAATGTATGCCCATAACCCATCATTTGCCTTCTCTATCCAGCCAATTACCACTGGTGAATCTCCTTCGATAATCAACTTATTTATATTCAACTCCTTAGCCCTTTTTACCCCCTCCAGGAGGGCCTGAATTTCTGCTCTCAAAGAATCTCCAACTTCAATTGGTCCTGAAAATAGAGCTATAACTGAACCTATCTCTGTTCTGAACACACCACCAACCCCTGATGGCCCTGGGTTTCCTTCACTGCTCCCATCAAAGTTGAGTTTGATAAAGCCTTCCATTGGAGGGAGCCACATCAGATGGACATTGATTCTTCTAGGAGCCAAGACTGCTATTTCCTGCCAATTATTCACGATGGTCTCTATTGAAGCATCCTCAAAAAGATTCAGTGTTTTTACCCATTGTGCTACCCTCAAAGAGATTACTTCTATAATTGTGTCCCTGCTTCTTTCCTTTTCAGCAAATATCCTTTGGTTCTTTTCCTCCCAAATCGTCCAACAAACTGCTGCCTTGGTGCATTTCCACAAGATTTTTCCCCTCTCTTTGATCCGGATACCAACTGCATAGGTGAAGAGGCTACAAATGCTTGATGGAGGAGTCCACCTGCAACCAAATAAAGAGAGAAACCACTCCCAAATAGAAGAAATAAAAGGGCAGGATGTAAGTAAATGAGAGCAAGACTCACCATCAGCTTTACAAAGGGTACACTAGTGCGGGGACAAGCACCAAAAAGGCTATTGCATGTATTAATTCTTTCCAAAGCTATTTCCCAACAAAGTGCTCTGACCCTAGGTGGGACCGGTCTTCCCCACACTTCTTTAGAAGGGAAGGGAAAGGCAGGAGTAACAGAAAAATGGGCCAAGGCATTGAAAAAGGAGGCACAACTGAAAGAGTCAGAAGAAAAAATTATCAAAAAAAAAAAAAAGAGCCAGAAGAAGAAAGGGTCCAAATTCGGGAGTCCCCCTTTGACAGATCTGAAAAAATCTTTTGAAGTACCTGGATTAGGGACCACATCAATATCATCTCAGAATCTCTGAGACCTCGTCTGAAACCCAAATCCCAATTAATCTGAAGTCCTGGGCCAACCGAAGGAACTAAAGATGAGGCAGTTGAGTTTTTGTACCTAGAAAGGGAGAATAGGGAAGGGAATTGATCCTTAAGTGGTGTCTCCCCCACCCACACATGCTCCCAGAACCTTACCATATTTTCAAAACACAAATTGTACCTAACAAAGGGTAGAAAACAAGGAAGAATGGCATGGATGGCTTTCCAAGGTGTTGTTGCTGAAGCTCTAGCCGAAATTCTAGCGTCCCAACCATCTTACGTCAGCCCGTGGATGCAATTATTTTTGTTATAGGGGCCGAACCGTTATTTTTGTTATAGGAAAAGAAGAAAAGAAAATGTGTTGAATAGAAAATGTGTAGTAGTAGTAGTAGTAGTACTAGTAGTAGTCGTAGTAGTAGAAAATGTGTTGATTAGACAAAATTTTAAGTTTCCTTACTTATTGGTTCAGGTTTTAAAGTCTTTGGGACAGCATTTGGCAATGTTTATATTGATTAAACCCTAACAAATAAGAAAATAATAAAAAGAAATTAGTATATAAACACACAAAATGAATATTTTAGTTTAATAGTGCCTATTTTATAACCACAGTCAAAAAATAAAGAATAAAAAAGTATTTTATAATACATAGTACAAAACTTTTTGGCGATTAGGCGAGATGAGCCTCAAAAGGCGCCTTGTCGCCTAAGCGTCACCTTGACAACTATGGTTGTGCTTATATACTAATTTCCTTTTATTATTTTCTTATTTGTTAGGGTTTAATCAACACAAACATTGTTAAATGCTGTATTTTCTTCTTCTTCTTTTCCTATAACAAAATAGGGGTTCAAGCCCCGTATTTTTTGAATTTTCTTTTCTTTCTTCTTTTTCTTATGAATATGCTGATTTTCTATACTTTAACATGAAGTTTATACTTTTCTTACAAAAATTATGGATAATTATTAAGGAAATATGGTTATAGAATCTAGGGAACTACCCCAGGATATATGTTTTTTACTTAAAAGAATCCATCATTGGGCAAGCGCCTAGGAGACTAGGTGATAAGGCGTCCTATCACCTAGCCTCGCCTTGGCGCCTTGAAAACTATATTATAAACTACACCTTGTAATGGTTGCCTCCACAATCATTACTAGTAGGGGTGAGCAAATGGGTAGGTTCTACCCAGAACCGAATGGAACCAACCTCAAACCAGCCTTGAACCAACCCTATCCAATCTATTATAAGGTAGGGTCTAGTTCCAAATTCTTGGAACCGACCCCCACCCAGGCCAGTTCCAGGGTCTAGGGGTTTACCCTACGTCCCTACCCGAACTGACCCAATGAACCGGCCTTGGTTGGCCTTGGTGGACTCAGCCTTGGAGAAGAACTTGACTTGAAATAAACCCCAAAATATTTTTAAGGATGTGAAGATTTGAGCCCAAGCACTCATGGTTACAAAAGCCATGGTCTCTCTTGACCATTGAGTTACTTAAGTATTTTTTTTATCAGTAATGTGATTTGATCAATTGTTTTCATTTTAATATTTATATGTGTATAATAAATAATGTAAAAGGTAATATTTACAAAATGTAAATCATAATGACAAATTTTCAACCATAGATTAATATACTATGATAATCTACATATTAAATTGCTTAATTTAATCAATAAAGATAATATAAGTTTTAAACTATATATTATCATTATTGAAAATTTTGAAGGTGTTTCATTTTTTTTCTTGAAGGGGGAGAGTAAGGAAATAATAGGTTCCATGGATAGACCCGAAACCCAACCCCGGAACCGACCTTCGCAAGGTAGGTTTCGGTTCCATGGATATCCCTTTTGAGTTCCATGTTAATTTCCACATGGAAGGAAGGTTGCTGGGTCATTTAAGGTGGGAGCAGTTTTTCTAGTCAAATCATTTAGCTGAAAAGGCTGAACAACCAAATAATCTTCCATGTGGAAAATTAGTTTGAGGTTCAAAATAATCCCATGCAGTCACTCATTATTCCCTATTAATATTGGCAAATTTGAAACTATAAAGCATAAACATTGACCCTTGGTCAGGAAAAAAATAGAAAAAAAAAAAGAAAACCATTCTTTTGCAGAAAATTCAACATTAAGAATGTTGAAAATTTCAATCACCATCTTACTTTTAGAAGACACTGATAAAAAATGGCCCATATATTGATATAGACTGGAAGGTTGCATAGATAGCTAATCCAGATGGTCCCCCACATGATGGAACAGTTTCATATCTGCGACATTTTTTTATCAGCATTCATATCTGCAACATTATACTTCAATATGGCAGAAACTGGGTAGGTTGTCTAACAAAGCTCCCTACTTGATCCAACTAGTGTATTTTTTCCATATATGTATTACCTACTTCCATGTGGAGGGATGATGTGGCTAATCTGAGCCATCCACAAAGTAGGGTACCGCCACATGATCTCTCCACATGCAGAAATAGGGATGTCAAGTAGGAAAATTCTCTTCTTAATCCAACTATGCTATTTTGCACGTGGCCAATCTGAGCCATCCAGTAAGTAGTGGATCACTTGGACTGGCCACTTATTCAATTGCCCAGTGTACATAAGCTCTGTACCCTGCCTTTTATCAGTGGGAAAATCTGTGATGTCAGAACGACATGATACCTGAAGAGCTTTAACCAATCAAAACCCACCCATGAATTTTTGATAAATACCACCCAATTGAATACCACATTTATGACACCGGTTGATTGGTCACAAAATTTTCGGATACCATGTCTATCCAGTATCATAGTCAAACCCTTCTTAGTATTTCCACAAGTAACATTGGCTCTAGAATGATTAAGTATTGTAATCTTAAACTTGTCCAAAAAAGAGGGGCACATTTCAAACGTGTCGCAAGATTTTTTGGCTCATTAATAGAGGATGGCAAGATGAAAGTATGGCACCATTTTAGCAAGCCAGCTTTCCACGTTTAAGATTCTTTCATCATTCTGACTTTCTACGTTAAACAATCTGACTACCAGCACAAACCCCTATATATGCATGTATGCATGTAGGTATTTATGTCCATGTGTGTGTGTGAGAGAGAGAGAGAGGGTGGCCTATTATTGCATGGATTGAAAGGGATTTTTGAACTAGTAAATCCTGATTACATATAGAAAGATATCCTGATTCAGCTCTTGAATTGAGAAACTCAAATTATTGGCCTAGTATAAATAAAAGCCTGCAAGAGGCAGAGATGGATATTAATCCATCACAGCCCATATTCATTTTCGTCATATACACCCATCGTTTGCATGGGCTATATTCACAGAGGGATACTTAGAATAGGTCCGGGTCACTACATTGTCGTTCCTATTTATTGGGAGAAAACATAAAATAGTCATGTAAAGTGTTAAGGTAACTATGGAGTGGATAAAGCGCATAAAAATCCGTTGATCCTTGGGATTACCTTACCCATTCCATTGCAAGTTTTGTTCTGTTTGTAAAGCTCCCCTGGGAATCGCAGACTAGCCAAAATTTTCACTCATTTGTGCAAATTCTCCCTTCACTTTGCAGCAGTAGAGAAAGACCGAGAGTTACATCAACAATAAAGCGAATTTCCTTACTAAACAAATAATAGTTCAAATTAACATGCAAGAAAAACACATCCAGTGCCAATTACCAGAGAAAAAAAGAGGTGCCCTCTAAAACGTAGAAGGCACAGACAAAACTAACCTCTAATAATTCTATTCGCCTCCCTCTGCAACTCCTCCTTGTTAACCATTAGGGTCGGCGAAGGAAGCGAAACTGGCCACCAACTAGGGAGCTTCTTCTCTCGTACTGTGACACGTTTTTGCGGCTGCATTTCTTCGACTTTCGTCACCATTACTCGAGCAGGTGAAAGAGGATTAACGGAAACACTTAAGTTCTTCTTCCTTTCTTCACTCCCCCTAAATCTCCCCCCGACAACCACCTCTCTACCTCCAAGACTCCGATCCCTCCTCCAAATCAGACTTCCATACCCAAATCCAAGTCTAGACCCAAACCTAAACCCTAAGTCCACCAGAACCCTCACAGAAAACACAATGACGCAACTCCACAGCACAAAATTCGCCAAGAACAGCAGCGAAGAACGTCGACAAGAGATTACAATCCTCCGGTCGCTATCGATCATAACCAGAGCCTGCAAATCCCTGATAGCTTCCTTACCGGACGAAACGAATCGATGTAATCTCACTTCGGATGACCTGATAATCCTTCTCAGCGATGTAGAAGCTTGGTTCGCTATCTCTTCTATGTCGATTACCATCTCAATTTTTTCATTGGAAGCCGGTTTCGTCTTAGTCTTTGGTTTTCGGCGACGGAGAGAACAAGAGATTCCGATGGTCCGGATATCTGTATACTTTAAATGACGACATTGTCGCCCATGGAGGCAGCGAGGAGTAGAAACTGAAGACGATAATGCTATTAAGCTTGCGGCTTTCATGAACACGGATGCCGGTATGCGAACAACAAAGAGTGAGAATATGAGAGTCAGAGTTTTGTACATATGTAGGGAAAGTTTTGTATATATCCCGGTATGTTATTAATTACCGGAACTTTAAAACGATCCGTAAGAAGATTTATTATCAATCAGTACCATCACGTGATATTAGTTGCGAGTTAAATATTTTTGTAATATCAAAAATAACTTTTATAAAAAGAATTTGGACCATTTTACACTTTTCCCTTCCCATTTCCATAATTCTCTTTTTATTCAATCTGAATTAAACGAACGAGAGAGGAGACTTAACTCAACTCCCACAATTTTACCCAGCGTTAATTATCGCTCTTCATTCCAAGCACGCTTCACTCAACTCTCACCATTTCATCCCTTTCTCTTCATCTCGAATATGTCCATTCCATTCCATTCCTTTTTCTTCAAACTCGATTGAAGAAACAACAGTTCACGTGCAGCCCTTGAAGAAACGAGTTAAAAAAAGGGGGTACAATTTCTTCCAACAACAGCAACAAGAGTCATCTTTTAACTTTTCCAGCATCGCATTCAAGCGTTGATTTCAACTTTTCCAGTGGTGCATTCGCTTGACATCACCGTCATGAAGAAGTGGTCTTTGACGCCAAGTACTAAATTGTCACAGAATGAAAATTCGGGTATTAAATTGTCGCATTTTAAAGTTTGGATACAAAATTGGCACCAACCTAAAGTACAGGGTACTTATCGAGAATTTTCCCATATATCTATGTATTATCTATATACTAGTCACACAGGTACGTCACACAAAATTGAAGGTGGAGCTTTAAAATGAGCTCTACGATATTTTCAATTAAATGGTGAACTTTTAAGTTAATTCAAGTATTAGTTTTTAGGGAAAAATCCCCATTAGTGCCATATACTTTGGGCTTAGTGGCACTTTGGCCTCGAACTTTAAAATGTGACAATTCAATATTCGAACTTTCAAAATGTGCTAATTTAGTATTTATTATTAATCAGCCAGTTAATCGGTTGTTAAGTGGTACTTGAAAAGACAAATATCCTTTGAGTGTCATCTAAATCTCTTGCCTCTTCTATTCAAGAAAGTTGGAATCACCACGATGCCTGAGACATGACCCTGACTTTCTTGAATATAAGAGACAAGGAGTTGGGATTGTTCATTTTTTGTCAATGTTTGGATGGTTGATAAAAAGAATTAGATGAAACTCGAAGGGCATTTGTGTTTTTTCAAATGCCACTTAACGACGAATTAACGATTGGTTGATAACAGGTATTAGATTGGCACATTTTAAAAAATTGGATATTGAATTGTTGCGTCTTAAAGTTCGGGGACCAAAATAACACTAGGCCCAAAATACAGGGTACTAATCGGGAATTTTCCCTATTTTTTAAGCTAGTTTATTCAATCACAATATAAGGCAGTCTTTGGTAGTAAATACTATTTGAAGTACACAAATTTATTTTGGAATGTTTTTTACTTTTAAAATACGAAATAAAAACACGAAACCGGCTTTTCAAGCTTCGTGCTTTTTACACCTCTGACGAGCCAAAATGCTTCATGTGACGCACATGTATTATTTATTATTTACCCTATTCAAACTCAGCCTTGCGCCACACCTCTTCAATGGACTATGTTTCTCCCCATTTTCCGATCGTCTGTTCTAATTCGTCCGTCAGAAACATCAACTCCACCGTCGAGTGATTTGGCATTAACACAAGTAAACTCATGCCATTTTTTCGCATTGTGCTCATCAGCTGGTATAAGCCATTCACTAACCTTTGAATCTTCATGTCTCATTTTCAGAGTTTCTCACCAGATAAACCAGTGTAACCTTACCGAAAATCATCGAGTGTCGGCATCATACACCTCCTCTACATCCCCTTTCTATTTAATAATACCCTTGTTGGTTTCTACCACATATCTTCTATTAATACTTTGTATTTTCTTGTAATGCATATAATGGGGTTTCATTTCCAATCAAATGTTGTTTGTATTGTCCTTAACTCTCTCTTTATTGTCTCGTGCTTTATACTATATTGCAATTGATGTGTCTGGTTCCCATGCTTCGGTTGGGTTTCACTGAGAAATATTGGGTACCTATGAATGAATTGGCTGAGTTTCATCATGAAATATTGGTTATTTGTGAATTAAATCGCCTATATTTCATTGGGTTCTATTGTAATGCATCTATTCCTTCAATTTTCCATGGAATCGCTGATGCATTGGTGTTTCACACTGACTCCATATAAAACCCTCTTTCATATTGGTTATTAGAACTTTCTTCTTTTTTTTTTTTTACATTGTGTGTAGGTACTGTTGTTGACACGTGTCCTTTTTTTGCAACTAAATGGTATGCAACGCTTTTACTATTTAAAGCAAAATTTTCAAACATTTCCATATGAATGATTTTCGTAGCAAAAATATGAAATCATAAGTATATCACGTAATATTAACTTTTCTATTGAGAAAAAGTATGGAGTATGAAGTACAATTAAATAGGGTCTAAATTGCACTTTTGTTTTGATTCTAACAAAGGCCACCCCTATAATTTTGAAAAAAAAGTGCAAATACCTTTTTTCCTTTGACTCTTTGGTAGTAAAGACATTAAAGTTACCAAAATACCATTATCATTGTTAATGCATTATCATACATAATTTAAAATTCCAGATTTACACTCCACTAATTTATTTTGCTAGACAACTTTCAAAGAATAATTATCCTTACTCTCTTTGAACAAAAGTAAAAGGGCTGAAGTGAAGTAAAATTAATACATTACACCAGCATTTTTTTATTTCAACTGACTAATGGAAAGTATTTGCACAATTTTTTTCAAAACAATAGAGGAGGTTTTTGTTAAAACATCAAGGAGTTTCATAGGATTGTTAGAAAAAAACAATGAGGTTTTTATAATTTTCCTTAAATTTAAATGAATTTTAAATTGATTTTAAAATAATTAGACGATGTTTAAAACTAATATATTTTGTATTAATTTTTTAAATTAGTGAAAATTGAATTTATCTAAGTATATTAAGCTTTTATTAAATTTAAATTCCTTATGAAATTTAATTAACTATATAATTTTTATTTTTTAAGTGGAACTTAAGTTTGTTTTAAATTAAAAATATTTAATTATAAAACTAATAATTGTTAGATAATTTTGTATTAGTTTTCTATCAATTTTTAATTTACATTTTTTATTAATTAATTTTTTTTATTATATTAGTAAAAAATAATTTTTATCAATAAAAATTATGGTTAATTAATTTTTATTGTTTTCAGCTTTAACATAAATGGATTATAATATTAAATGTAAGTAGACTATTTAGTGCAATAATATATCTTTGAACATCTCAATTTCAATTAAATTAATTTTTAATGATAATTACAGTTTGATTCAAATATATCTATTATATATACTTAAATTCAAATGAATATATAGATAAAGTTGGTGAGTTTTTTGCGATTTAATGAAATAATGAAGATGAGAGAGAATTAGTGGAATGAGTTGTTGAAGGAAATAGTTAATGGCATAATTAATGAAGATAAATTGTTAAAAGAGTTATTGAGATAGATAGATAGAAAATGGTATTTTAATGATGAGTGTTAAAACTCTTAAAGGTGATTGGCCACTTCCAAACTCAGCCTAAATAAAAATTTTAATTTGTACAAAAACAATACTTTTATAATTAACACGGGTAAGCCTGTAGGCCTAGACAAATATTATTACACTTGAGGTCTAGGTTGGGTTAGGCCAAACAATCTTAAAAACTGCCAATACATTATCAAATTTTTCACTGGGCTACAAAATGGGAGTAGCCCATCATTCATAGCTCATTTGGCATCAATATTATCTAAGAATAGTTAAGAAACCCTAGAAATAATGCATGCATGCATGGGTTGCACTCGGTTTAGTTTAATCCAATTACAAATGTTATGATGTGTGCAACTTACGTAGGTTAGGTGAGGATGAGGATCAATTAAAGTCTAATCCAAAGTCTTAAACCTTAAGAATGGGCTTAGATTAATTTAATTATGACTAAAAAAGTTGATTATAGATTATTTTAATTATGACTATAGCCTAATTTTATATGTTTATTAATCTTTAAGTATTTTAAATATTCAAGTGATATTTATAGAAAATTGAAACATTTAATCATTAATAAAGTAAAATAAATAAAATAGAACACTAATAAATAATATAGAAAAATAATCATTTTATTAAGCAATTAGCACTAATTTATTATTTTTGTTAAAAATATTAATATAATTAATCCAAATTTCTAAATTACTAAATTAGTAATTTTTTTGTAATATATTATTTAAATAAATATTTAATTATTTTAAACAACACTGCATTATTTCCTTACTTATAAGTTTTGGTTATTTCACTTTCCTTAATAAATATTGGGCATCGCACGGGTCCTCGCTAGTGGCTAACGAAATCGAAAGATATGCTGCTCTTTTGTTCATAGAGAGCATAGATGGATTAGGTTTGGTAGGGCTTTTGTAATGCGTGTATATACATACATACATACATACATATATATATATATATTAGCAATAAAATAATGTATAAATATATTTTATATATGTTATATGTATTATTTTATATTTAATTTATGTTTTTAATTTATTTTTTTTATTTATAAAAATATAAAAAATTACAATTTAAGGCCAATAATGAAAAAGACACCTACGGCTTCTTGGGACACACTGATCTTGAAAAAAATACCTAAAAAAAATCACCCAAAGACATCGGAATGCAAAGTTATGACCTCCAAATAAAATGGTACTCGATCAAGTCAACAATTTTTGAATGGTCTAACAGGTTTTGACGGAATTAGATCTGGCCAGATGATGGTTCGAACGGTCGGGTCAACGGTGGATTCAAAACATTGATTATAGGTTTAAAATTACATACCCTATTTTATCTCGGACCAGAATAAAGTAATTAATTAGGGAAAAGTACGGGCAGGCCCATTGTAGAAATATGAACACCAGGCCAGCCCATACCAAATTTACAATGACTCTCGAATTCAACTTTT